TCTTTATCCCGTTCGCGCGTGTGGGTGGGTGGGGGTGGGTGTGGGCGGGCAGGGAGGTGGTGAGGGAGGGAGGGAGGGAGGAAGAGAGAAAGAAAGAAAAGAAGGAAAATGCAAACTCTCCAAGTTCTCAAGATTTTGTTCATATAAATGAAAAATAATATCAAAAATTAATGGTTATCCACAAATTTCATAAGCTATTCTGTATTTTAATTTTTACTATCCACTTTATTAATATAATGATCACCACAAAACCCTCCTTCTACTTTTCAAATAAAAGATTAATGTTTTGATGACTCACAAAGTATTTAAACTCAGTCATCAAAGAAAGTCAACAGTTCCATGCATTTGTCAGACTGTAAAAATATTAATTCAAAGAAAGTTTTTCTACCTTTGGCTGATTTTTCATAAAGCACGGCAGATCTCGTGCCAGGTGATACCATTTCTTTGGGTTCTGTGGGCAAAGAGAGAGAAGATTAATAAAAACAACCTTCCTTTTTACTCTCTAAATGCTTCTTAAGGAAGATTCATTAGTAATAAAGGTCAGAGAAGAAAATCATTTAACACAATACTCAGCTTCATTCAGCAGCTGCCCCAGGAGTCACTTGCCTTAAATGCCAAATAAGTCCCCCAAGGTCCTTCCCTCCCTGAAGCTGAGTCACCCATGGGTGACTGTGGCAGATCCTCAGCCTGTTTCCTCTGATTCTTTTCTTTCCTTACACAGAAATATGATTTGCACTCAGCAAGGAAAAGCATCAGCTCTCGTAATTTCAAAAGACAAGCTATAAGCCATGTTGGGACCCAAAATTTATAGAAATACAAAAGACCGAAATGGAATTTGCAATTATCCAAACTTACTTTCCTCCCGCTCCCTGAGCGGGTGGGCTGTGAAATATTCATGAGAGTCTGTGTCTTTCCACAGTAATCAAAAGACGACTGTAAATAATTGCAGATTACCCTCCTTAGGAGATGTGATTCCCAAGCTTTTCTGTGCTATGAATGGGGAGGAAAGCTCTCTATGGGAGTCAGAAGTTATGGAAATATATCTTGTTCCCTCCCAGAGCATATAACAATCTTGAGGAGTATCCCATAAAAGATTTTACTACATCATTATCTGAATGTTCATATTGGAGGAGAAGAATCTCAAGTCTGATCAATGGCTTCACGGAAAGGGCTGTCGCATACGTAGGTGAGAATTTTAAATTCACCCTTTAAGACAGATAAGCGATATTAAATAATCGGGTTTGGCAGCCACTATCAGAATAATCCTATAACTGCAATCACTACATCTCACCAGCTGTGAGAACTTGGGCAAGTAAATTACACTCTGCATGCTTTCATTTTCCTCTGTAACATGGAGCTGATTGTGCCCGCTACTTTATGGAGTTAGCCCATGGTGATTAAGTGAGATCAATAAATATAAAGGACATAAGACAGTGCCAGATAAGCACGGCAAGTGTTGGTTAATACAATTATCGATGTAATTATTAAAATTATTAGCAACTTTCTGCTTTAGAAAGGGCTTATGGTCCCATTGAGACTCCACATCCTAGAGAGAGACGTGGTGGAGTGACTAAACCATAGCACACTGGAAATTGCCTCATTTCCCTATTGATTAATCAAACTCTGTGACAGCCAAAGAAACACTGAGTTTGCTTTTGGTGGATACATGAAGAAATTTGAATCATGTTTCAGGAAGATAATCTATAAGCTATCAACAGCTTTCCTGCAGTACTCCCTCTTGAGTGGACTGAAGAAGCCTTCCAACACAGTGTGAAATGCCTCAAGTGTCACTTAACATTTCTAGCCTTGTCCTCTGGTGAAGTATTGATTCCATTACAGAGACACCTACGAAAAGCCATGTTTTCATACCCTTAAGAGAAACTGCAATAAACAACATGTAAACTGAATAAAAAGTATGCTGTAGCCGGGCGGTGGTGGCGCATGCCTTTAATCCCAGCACTTGGGAGGCAGAGGCAGGCGGATTTCTGAGTTCGAAGCCAGCCTGGTCTACAGAGTGAGTTCCAGGACAGCCAGGGCTACACAGAGAAACCCTGAAAAAAAGTGTGCTGTAATTAGGAACACATATATCAGACAATTATACCAAGAAATTTGAAAGTGTGTTTTCATTAAACAAACATATAATGTGCAGAATATATTCAAAGGAAATCAGTAAGGGACTGAAAATGGTAACACAGGAAAGAATAATTTAACAGAAATCTAAACAACAATCTATACACCGACATGGCAGATAAGCCAGCTTCCTCTGTGAACAACATGGGTATAAAACTGGACAAAACAACAATTTCCAGTAACTGAACCCATTCTAAAAGCAGGTTAAGAATTACCATTTCAGGGCTCAGTGCATAAAAACAACATAAAAAGTATTTGCCATGCATGTCGTCATCCATGCATGCCCTAGGTTCAGATCCCAGAACCCATGTGAAAAGTCACAAGTGCTAGTGCCAACATTTGCTATGCCAGTGTGCCTGTATGACGTGGAAGGCAAAGCTGGAGGAAGCTCCAAAACACTGCAGGTCAGCTATATGGCTGGCACAGCAGGGAGAAAGCCTGTTTAAAGTATTTAACATGGCAAAGGGGCTGAGACCAACATCTGAAGGTTGTTCTCTCATCTCTAGAAGTAGGAGCCCTGCCCACAGATACACAAATATGCACACACACACACACATACATACACAAGTTCACATGCAAACGTGTATACATACATTCTCTCACATAGATACATGTGCACACACATGAATACATGCATATATATGTGCATTTAGACATGTACACACATACATACACAGATACACACACATTCATACACAAATATACACACATGTGCACAAATACATGCACACACATACACAGGTAGAATCAGAAGATCATTCTGTATATTTTGAAAATAGAAAATAGATGATCAGAAATACAACCAGAAAGCTTCGGACTTCTACCCCTGGAAATGGCAGAACATAAGTCTCTCCTTTGAAACCAGGCAGTCTGTGAGAATTTGCAGGCACTTTAAGAAATTAATGAAACATTTCAGTCAAGCATCAGGCCTCTTCCTAGACTTTTACTACACACAGGTTTTTATAAAGTTCCTTTAACTCAGAGAAAACATTCGTAACTTTGAATACAAAACTCAACTGCATTTGAAAACCTCATAGAGCAGAGGACGGCCTTATCTGGCCCTTGATCCTGTAGAGGCTTGATAACCCAGGATAAGGGAATGCTAGGTCACTGAGGCAGGAGTGAGTGGGTGGGTGGGTGGGTGGGTGGGGGAGCACCCTCATAAAGGCAGGGGGAGGGGAGGGGGAGGGGACTTGTGGAGAGGAAACTGGGAAAGAGGATAACATTTGAAATGGAAATAAATAAAATAACCAATAAAAATGAAAGAAAAACAAAAAAAGAAAATGTGATTTAAAGTTAATTTTCTGTTTAGAGATAGACTCTGCAGTTAATGTGCTGAGGCTAGCAGCCAAAGGACAGGGATCTGTGGCACCCCTTTCTTCCTTCCTTACCTACTGGCTAACTTTGTACCCCGATGTCCCTGAAACAAGGGATTAGAAGAGAAGGGGGAAGTTCACTTTCGGGCCACTGAAATCAAGGGGACTTAGGATCTGAGCCTAGCATGCTTAAGGCTGAGTGTCAACAAAAGTGCCTTTGCCCAGGTTGTTGTGAGCCTCATTTCTGACATCTTTGGACCTTACATATGAATCCCCAAGTGATGCATTCAACTTTTATCTAATGAGAATAATTCTGCTGCTGGACAGCCCTTAAGGAAGGACCTACATCAATCAGAACTATGTTCACCAGCCACAGGAGAAGCAGCTAAGTGCTGCCCAGACCCCTCTGCCTGGCCGAGCCCCTGCTGTTCACTGGCTCATCTCTTTGCAGTTTCTTTATCAGAGAGCAAGGCACTGCTTCTACTCTCTCCCCTGAACTTTAAGAGACTGGGTTACGCTCTCCTTTTGACACTTCTTACCAACACCAACAGGAAAACGACGCACCCTCCTCCCTCTGTACACAGATATTTCTATCTTATTCTCAACCCATTCCAAATAAATCTTCCTGCAATCTCCAGAGCTCGGAACCTTTGATTTTAGACATGTAGAACGTAATCTGATTCTCGTCTTGGTAATGGGGAATTTCTCCCAGGTGATCTAGCTCATGAATCATGTGAGTATCTGATAGCCACTGTTGCAAAGGGGTCACGTTGTAACTGCTTTCTATCTTGTAGTAGTATTTTTTCACAATCGCAGCTTACCTACAGGAAATTACTTAAAAATTGCATGTCGACTGGATACTCTATTTTATTCCATTTTATGATCATTCCTTGACTGTTTTATTGTTCTTCGGTTATACTCTTCCTGCTCTGTCAAGCAGAGTCCCAAGTGGTTGTGTGGTGTTCTCTCTCATTTCCATTCTTAATAACAGCTCCCTCTGCTTAGGGCTTAGGGCTTACTTCTCAGCACTAGCCAAATTTACCACCTGTCAACACTTTAATGCCCGCTTTCCCACCAAGTGATCCCCAGGTACTTTGGACTCTGTTGCGTGTATCATTTGCCACCACTGTACAGCAATTAAAGTCAAGGGCTGCAATTCATTTTGCCTCCTTGCACTGCCTCTCGTTGCCTTGTCTCTTCCACTATTCCAAGTTCCTCAAGGACAGCTGCATACTGTGCCTATTGCGGATCTCCCTTGCCACTTAACACAATGACTAATACATAAAAACATCCTTAATAACTATATTCCACTTTCTACAGATTAAATATTAATGCAGATAAAGTATTGACTCATGGAGCATGACTATCTCACTGTGTCTTCTGAGAACAGTTGCCTAGCAAGTTCTTAGTTTTACCAAATCAATTATAAAATTAAAAAAAAAAACTGTAGGATAAAAAGACACAGAAGACAAAAGACTATGCAGGAAGTCATAGTATCACACAAAGGATGCTACTGTGTGGGAATATATCCAAAGGCAGTCCGTGTTTGACCTCCATTTCCTGCCAAGGATAGCACTTGCCTCGAGGGTAATTAAGATAGTTACAAGATAAACTGAAAAGGAGACATTGGGTTTTGACATCTGACAGAAATTTGGACCCAAAGCAACATCAGGTTTTACTTAGAGATAAAACAAGTTTCACACAAAAATATTAGAGTGTGTGAAACTATATCATGGGTTTAATCCTTAAAATAAATAAAACACAAGACTCGTATACAAATTGTCATTCAGTCCTTTGGTTTTAAGAATTAATAATTTAGATCTAGAATACCCCCCTAATATGTCTGCAGTTTTATCAGACAGTTGTGGTGCCTTTAAAAGGTAAGAGAATGAAAAAAGTTACTGGGAGACTGTCCTTGAAGGAATATCAGAAACTTAAATGACCTAGTCCTTTCCTGACCACCATGAGGTAAACAGGCCTCCCCTGACATGTATTCCTTGTCATG